AGGAGGCTTCCTGTAATCTATCGAAGCCAACGTGGCCCAAGTATTCTACGTAATACCAAATAATGTCTCTCTCTACCTCTCTCTCTCTCTCTCTGTGTTTCTCTGTAAAATGCTAAAATGGGTCACCGGCCGTTAATATACCTGGGCTGCCCGCCCAAGGAAAGTCTATATGTGGGAATCACTGGAGATCAGGTTTCAACCTGTCTGACCATTTAAAAAAACCCCCCAAAAAAAAAAAAAAAACCAAAGCATTTGCGTACATTGCGACATTGATTATAAAGGCAACAGTTGAAGCTTCAAAACTTCAAAGCATTCTGGTCAGCCCTAATAGCATGGGTATCCAAACTGTATCAAAAATTTGGCTATGCAGCATTAACGTTGCAATGCATGTCTGGTTTTGTCTTGGCTTGGCTTCGGGTGTTTTATAATCATAACTGAGTAGAGGCTTTGGTATGCGTCAAAGGAACTAGCTCATTTGATGTGTAAACTGACCATGTTTGAAGGCAAAAGTGTTAATGAGGTACCAGGTGCCATTTAGTGACATGCCACCAGCCAAAAAAAACAATGAGAACACATCCGCCTCCTTTCACACAATAACACGGCTGGGGAAAGCAAGCAAGAAAATGCTTGTATGGATTGGGCAGCTGCAGCAAGAACAAGTAGATGACGACAAGGAATCAGACGAAAAGCTCTTTTTTTTTTTTTGGAAGTTTAAATTATAGTGGAATGGAGGAGGAGATTGTTGTTCAACAGTTAAACACAAAACTGAGGCAAGAGGGAGAGTTTAGCATGCTAGTGCAAAAGTACATGCACAGGATCACGCCGTGCATTAAAAATATTTTATGATATATTAAAATGGGTAAGATAGGACATACTACTCAGTTCACTGGGTGCAGGAATCTACTCGTGGGTGATTAGGACTCCATTTCCAAAAATTACATTTTTCTCTTGTAGCATCAAAAAGTAGCACTTGATTTCTTGAGTTGACTGTTCTTCAACACCTGTCAATATTTAGAGAACAAAATAGGTCTCCTCTAGCCCAGAGCTGACTGAGTCTGATTCCCAATATATGGCAAACTGACATACATGGCACAAATCCACAGCTGCTCATATTACTAATTATCTCAAGTTATTATAGAAATATGTAGTTATTATCCACAGTAACTGCCTCTGCAATGTGTTGTCCAGTCCACTCAAGCTGTCTATGAGGAAAATGCCCTGCCATGCCAGGCTGAGGCTGTAGAAAACATAATTCCACCCTAACACAGCTACTCCCAATGTTCTGCCAAATGCCAGCTATTATATACTTACCCTCCAAGGGCTGAACTGAGAGGCAGCCTGTAATTTTTCGTCAGTCTCTTTACGGTTTGTGCCTTGTTTTTCAAATTAGTCACCGGCAAAAGGTGGAAAGAAAGAAGTTGCATGGCCATTACTTTGAGTACAAATATTTAATCAAAGAGACACACGCTCACAACCTCTCACACACATACACTCACACACACACACGCACACACACACACACGCACACACGCACGCACACACACACACACAGACCATCGCCAGGCATGAAAGCCCTCTAGTCAGCTGTCTGCCAGTAATGATCCTTCTCTGGCAGCGCAAGTGCGTAGCATGAATATGTCGCTAACCAGCTGCAGTCACACTGCTCACACATCTGCTTTTTATATTATGTACTTGGTACATTCTGAAGCACATTCTCTCTCTCGATCTCTCGCAATTTATTGTATACCTTTCATCCAATCCCTTGTGTCCATTTGCTGTCTGTGAATGGGGCACTGTTGCGGTTGGTTGAAAAATCTTCACAGTGAAACTAACCAGACTAAACAAAGAAATAAGGCTGTGCAGCTGGCCAAAGATTCCTCTACGGATACTGCAGCAGCAAAAGCATCAAGGTTCTTCTTGTGTCTTTTGCCAGAGGAGTTGTGGGAATTTAGCACATTTCCCAGGTGTTAAAACTAAATAATAAAAACTTAACAGACATTCTGGTCTCATCCAACAAAAACTTTCTATCACCATCTGACAAGCCTTGTGTTGGGGATGGGGAGTATGGGGTGGGCAGAGTGTGCTACTACAACCTGACATAATGTTGCCTCATCCCGAGATGTGACGTGCACATTTAACTCACCGCCTGCAAAACACCAGAGACAGACGTGACAGAGTGCTAGACTTTAAGGATGGAAAAGAGGGTGGTGAAAGGGAAAGTAACAACATAAAACCAGCTGGAGGGACTGACAAAGGATTCTTTTAGTGGCAATCCTGATTGGCACCCAATGTTGTCCCTGGGCATTTCAGACTCGTAAAACTTTAATATGCAGTTCAATAACCATTTTCCCCTCTTCCCCTCCTTTATTCTTCCACAGAGGGATTAGAGTGGCAGGACTCAGTCTCAAAAGAAATGAGAAAAAAAGAGTGGCAGAAGGTTGTCCAAGGAGGGAAAAAGATGCCAGACATGACAAGACCACCAGTAGAACTGAGCAAATTGGAAGAGTGCCCATGCGAAACAATTACTTACTACTTCAGGGTCTAAAGAAATAAGCCACAGTCTCTAAATCACTGCAAGTCTGCAAAGTTCACTACACTAAAATACTTTCTCCCAAAATCATTAAACTACCAATGGGAAAAGGTTAATAACACCATACAATACTACCAAATGTGTTGGTATATGTATATGGTATGTGTTAAGTATAGTGCTGTCAAACGATTAAAATATTTAATCGCGATTAATCGCATTAATGTCATAGTTAACTCGCAATTAATCGCACATTTTTATCTATTCTAAATGTCCCTTGATTTCTTTTTGTCCCGTTATTTTTTTCTCATTTTAATGCTCTTATCAACATGGAAAAGTGGATCGGCTTGCTTTGTGCAAATGTTGTTTTTATCGAAAAATCATCCATTGTCGCCTGGCTTTGACGAGGGGGCGGAGAATTCGCATCAGCTGTGTGCTTGGCCATCAAGTGGTATTTCAGACTGGACGTGCTGCGATGATAGCTCAGTTCACAACGACAAAACACACAGATCACTTTGGTCTTGTCAATGGAACCATTTGGCAACTTTTTAAAAGTAAACTTTCCATTCAGAATATTATTGGCATCCATTTCGGCGTCTCGCGCTCGCCATCCACTCAAAACGTAACGTCTACTACTCTTAAACAAGTGTGTGCGGCGTGCCTGTTGTTTTGTTTCCAGTCTAGCTAGATCCGGTGTGGTGTTGTAGTCTTTCTAACGTTACTAGTTGTTGCAACAGCATGTGAAAAAAACTACAAAGTGTGCTAGGCCAAAAAGAACGCTAATCTCGCGATAAAAAAATGTACGCCGTTAAAATGGGTTTGCGTTAACGCTGTTAATAATAACACGTTTAACTGACAGCACTAGTTAAGTTTAATTTAAATTAACCCTCTTTTACAGCTTTTTCTGTTATTCAAAATCTCACAACGCAGAACTTACTTGAAGAACTTTCACATTTTGTGACCATAATCATTGACTTCAATTAATGACACCAGGGCTATGGAGCTACGACACATGATAATATATTAGAGAAGCATTTATGAAAACATACATGTTAATAACATTTGAATGATGATGAAACTAGCTCCAGACAAAATTCAGATATGGATAATGGTTCAAGAACAGCTGAGCACTGATTTTGAGCACTGATTTAACCTTTTTTTCAACTGATCTTCAACTAGTCTAGCCGTAGACTAGAGTGCTATTATTTCAATCTTTAACTACTGGTCCTATAACGTCTAAGCTAGAAGAGGATAGACCTACTGGTGATGATGGACATAATGCTGCATTTTTAATGCTTTGACTTTAATAAAACACCATGCCTTCAGGTAGACTAGACTAGATAATATATTATTACAGAATGTGAAATCACTTAACCTAAATTAACCTTCCCTTATTCACCTATTCCTGCATTAGTTTACAGATTGTTCCTTTAAGTGTGGCAAAACCACGATAGACGAGAGGTACTGCAACTGCCCAGTGATTGGTTGTCTGCAGCACGGAACACGCTGCCATCGATCCTCGAAAGGAAGAGTGCATGTGTGATTTCATATACTGAAACTGAACACAAAAATCTGACAAAAATGGCTACTTACTAGCTTGAAAGGTTTCTGCTCCTGAACAGGATTTAAGTGTTATGAAATACAGAAAAACTGCAAATGACCAAAGGACGTCGTCATGGCTTAATTTCACTTGAGAAAATGGTAAACCTCATCTCATCTCAGACTCACAGAGACTGGTGTGCTAACGACAATAACACTTCAACTGCCTCAGATAAAATATTGATCACACATTTAACAGACATGGATAGATGCCTTCATTGTCATGCAGACTGCCATGAGATAACCTGAAGAGAGAAAGCACTCGATACAACTGCTGTTAGGGCTTAACAAGAGTGCCATCCTGTGGTAAAGTAAAACATCACTAATCAGAAGCTCATTTTGCTGCAGACTAAGCAGGACTTAACTTCACCAGAAACCCGTGAAGTGTTGTCTTTGACTTTGACTGAGCGTATTACAAACAGTAAAATGTTTGGGTAAGACTTTAGGCGGCGCAGCGCGGATGGAAATCCAAACACCCATGGTGTTGTATTTCTATTACTTGCATTTGTGCTACAGTGTGTTTGTGTTCTGTTTTTTCTATGATAATGTAGCACTTTTTTAGGATATTTAAGAAATTAATCATTTTCATTATGCTCACAATTTTCTCAAAATTATAACAACAGAGTAAAAAAAAAACATTCTTGTAGTCTTTTTTAAAATGAAAAAGGATGTTCTTATTATTTTTAATTGAGACACTCACTGCTTCAAGGCCTAAAGGAAGTGAGGAGCCTGGGTGACTTTCAAATTAAATTGAAATAATTTGTTCCTCTCTGCAACACTAGTTTTGCCAAACCACAGCTAAGGATAAGATAAACAATAATATTACATTTAAAGTCAAAATACACTGCTTGTATTTGAGTTATTTCAATCTTACTTTGTAAGGAAGAAGGTGGAGTTTTCTCTGCTCTTAGTGAAGGTGATGGGGAGGAACCTCAATGTGATGTTCATCTTTCTGGCGTTGGCTGCCAGCTTCTTTGTCTGGAAAAGAGAAAAGTACAGATAGTACAGTACGATATAATAGTATAATTTGGTATAATACAGTTATCATTCATTTAACTTATCAATCAGAAGCAATTTTGATACTTGATCAATCATTTACATCTTTTTCACTGGTTTCAGGTTATCAAATGTGAATATCTGCGTGTTGCTTTGTCTCACTGAATATCTTTGGGTTTTGGACTGATGAAAAGTTTGAATATGGTCACTCTGGCATTTTATATAACAAATAGTCATATGATTTGAAAATATCATCAGCTCTACACAGTATGCAAAACATGATCCCATTATATTCTGTTTTTATTATATTTACAGTTTACTGTTCAGAATACCAAACAGAACAATCTAACAGCTATCAGACCTTCAATAAACATCTCACAGCAGCATGCTTCAAAAAAATAACTTAAGTGAAACAGGATGTAACAGAAAGTTTCTATTCTTAGCTTTGAACAGATTTGTTGGGACCACAGGTAGCCTGGCATTTCAGTTCAGTGGAGAAGTCAGTGGGGGGGGGACATCGTCTCTAAGAACAAATAGGTCCAAATGCCAAACATCTGTTCTGCATCAATAAATCGGGCTGTACAAGTAATTAAACCAAAGATGACCTGAACTTCTCCTTATTGGCCTCATCTAAATTTGAAAGGACAAGCCTTTCCTTCCTGGCACTTGTGTAGCTCCTTCATGAGTTCAGATTGGCAGGTAGTGAGAGACAGTAAAACAGATTTATTAAAAAGGTAGGGCTATACAAGGCTAATAACAGATTACTGCACTTGCAATGTTCTGGTAAAAACCCAAATCCCAAAGCTCATCATGTGCCAAGCCTCTATCTCTCGCTGAGAATAAGCCTCATTATTTTGACTGATTTGTGACCTCTGAAGCAGTCACTGCCCCTGAAAGTCCCATAAAAAAAGCACGCATTACTCCAACCTATCAAATACCACTTGTGTTGTCTTGTAGTAACAATACAGGTGAAAGCTGGCAGGGACACCGAATCTTACATAATTGAATGTCTGTGGTTTGGAACAACAGGAGTAAGCATTGCATAACTACAGCCACAAATGATATAAGTGAAGCAATAAAAAGACAAACACATTTTGATGATTTTTCTACTAAGCTAGGTCTTTACCATCACCTTTCATCTTTGGATCTTTATGTACATCAGATATCTAATCAAAACTAACAATGGATCACTGACTTGTATATAAAGTGCCTTCGCTACAAATGCAACTGAAATGATCATTCGCACCACGTGCATCTCTTCTTACATTTTCAGAATGTTTCTGAAAATAATAAAAGACAGTCACACAAATGAATTGCCTCATGGATAAATGTATTTATCACACTGCTATAAGTGGAATTTTGAACTTACATGTCCAGTGTGTAACATTTAGGAGAGTCTACTGTCAGAAATTGAATATAATATGCATAACTATGTTTTCATTGGTGTATAATCACCTGGAAAAAAGAATTATTATGTTTTTCTTACCTTAGAATGAACCATGTATTTCTACAAATGCAGCAGGTCGGCTTACATGGAGGCTGCCATGTTGAACAGCAATGTTTCTACATTGACTGGCTCTAGACACTGGCTCTTGATAAGGCTGTTCACATTTTTCATGGGTTTCAGAGCCACGTAAATTCTCCTGCTCACAAACTTAAAGCTAAAAGCTAATTATCACATTTATTAGGACTTAAATTGCTCTTAAATGTCAGAGAGCTCCAGGTCTCTTATGTATTTTAAGAGTGAATCTTAGATGAGTGCAGTGCAGAGTACAGGATATATTTTAGAATGATTGAATAAAGTATCCGTTAGTTGAAGGTGTATGTATAATTCAGAATAGGGCTGTTTTGACCTACTATGCATGTATCAGGCTTAAAACAACAAGAAGAAAGCCCTAGCACTGATTTACTTTTACAATCACTTTTCATGCATCTTCATTCTGTGCACTTGTCAACGTGGCACTAAGAGACCTTTTTCACAGCAGCCTTTTTGAAATGAAATAGAAGTAGGGTAAACAATGATACTAATTAAGGTTAAGGTTCCGTTCCGCACTATTTTATGTCAAAATTTCTACTGTGAAAAAGTAGACCTTTTTCACAGCAGAAATTTTATTTTTAATATTTTAATATTAGGCCTCCTTATTCTATGACTTTTCTAATGCATCTCATGCACCAGCAGCAGAATTTCTTTCCTGCTTCAGTTTTGGTCTTCTTTTTGTTTGCAGTTAAGCCAATTTCCTATTGTTTTTTTTTTTTTTTTTGGTTATTTATGGATATTTAATATGTTGCTGGGCTTTATTAGACCACTCTTGCAAGTGTACTTGTTTAATCTTATTTTTTATAAGTTAGTTAGTTTATTAGTTTTTGTTTTTATGTGCAATTTGTAATCTTGTTAAGAAAAGGGCTACAGAAAAAAGTTGGCTCCTTATTGCATTCTTCGTGGTTAACTGAATACAGGCCCTGGTCTTTGGATGGTGTGGTCAGTGTTGGGTCAGCCTGTTCTTGCTCAGGGTCAAAATGTCTCAGTTTGTAAAAATCTTTAAGCTTTTAAATCTTACCCGTATTAACTTTCAATATAGCTGTGATCTGGTGGTAAGATAGATATTTCAGCACTCAAAAGAAAAGTCTTGGCTGAACTGGCGGAACTGGCTGAACAGTTCTGAACTTTTTTTCAGAGCTAACACATGAGCAATAGTGACAACAATGAAGAGAGGACCATCTGTTTTTGGTTCTTAAATACCAAAACTATTCACACTGAATTCAGAAACACACGTGTTGTTATTTGAACAAAATAAAACAACTACTTTAGAATGCATTATCTCATGATGTGGGAACAGTGTGTTCGGATGGAGGAATAATACAAAATTGGATTAATACAACTTGTAAGATTATTCTTGAATAGGATTCACCAGCACTTGGAAGGCTGAGCTTTTTTCAAATGGTTGCAATCTGCAACATCACTACCATAGCACCAAATCCAACACACTGGTCCTTTACTCAAAGACGTACTTTTAAAGTGGCACGAGGAGTCCGGATGAGATTGTCTCTGGTGGCACCATCAGCAAATCGTCCTGTATCCTCAAGAAATCTGTAGTCTACAGTACAGGTAAAGGACAAACAGTAAACACACATACAATTAAAAGCATTTGATTTTAGAATACCAATCATTACAAAAAAACTATTTATGCTGTTTTAGTTTTTCAGTCATGGGAAGAAATAAAGGAGAGGATCACCATTCAGAAGCGCCATTTCATCAAACTGTGAGAGGGTCACAAAGGCAGTTTTATTTCTAACTCCACTGCATCCCGAATCTTCCTTGTGTTTCTTCACACACAGCAAGCTGGAAAAAAAAGAATTTGTTAGGTAATGACTCAGTTCTTTAAAAGAATTTGGCTTGGCGGCATTTCAGCTTGTCCAGACAGTACACAAAGGACAAAAAAAAAAAAAAATGGACAAAGACGGAAAGAAAACAACATGCAACAAATGTCATCTGAGGACTGCTGGTCTGCTGAATTGAGACTGACCAATATGAAACAATAGCATACTGTGCCCTGACTAATTGAAACAAATAACTAGCGCTGACAAACACCACTAGATTTTCCCCATTATCTAGAGAGGTTATTTTCTTTCCAGAACGATTTGAATATCTGTGTGCTAGGAGAAAAGGCCCAGAGAAAACAAGCTGATGTTTCTCTGATTAAAATTTTCCCTCTTTGTGGAAAAAATCCATCAACAGTTATCCGAGACATAAACACAGCAGTATTTCTGTTCCACTTCATTCCCAATAATATCTGAAACTATGTTTTTTTTTTTCTCAAATCGTTACAAAATTTAGACCAAAGGTGTGGATTCACAAAAGTATAGCTGTCAGATTAGTTACATTGTTCTGTGTCCCAAGAAGAAACAAAGTCAACATGAGACAACTCAGTTATTAATGTAACAAACAAATGTATACAAATACAGAGTGCATTACAGTAAAACAGTTAGAATGGTTGATTAGCAACACCTTAAGCATCAGGCTGCTAGTATAATAGCTAGTTTGGTTACCAGTAAAACAAAACCAAAACAACTATAATGGTCCAACGAGGACATTTTTAGAATAGATAAAAGATGCCAGTCTACATTTGGATGTAACACTCTCAGTTAAACTATAAAACGTGTCACTAAACTGTTCAACTGAAATCAGCTGGTGGCAGAATGTAAAACAGGGGCACTCACTCACTAACGTTACGTAATAGATAATAACGTTAGATCTGCTGGACAAAACCGACAATGTAACACTGTCGGTTAAACTGCTATGGAACCGTGGTTGCTATGGCAACAGAATGTTCAAATGTAACCAATTGGTGGCAAAACCAGCAAATATCTGCACCGAAGAAGCTGAAACCATTTTTTCCCCCACATTCTACTTAAAAATGACTTAACCAATTAATGAATTATCAAAATAGTTTCAGATTTATTTTACTACTAAATTATTGATTTCTTCTATAAATAAAGGGGGGGTTGCTGCATCATGAGTTCTTTTAGTTATGTTAATTTATATACATTTCCATACTGCTACTTAGGTAAGATATTTTGAATGTAGGACTTGCAATAAGGGTATTTTTCAAGGATGCAAGATATGGATTTTTTTTTTCAGCCTATACAACAATAATAATTACCTGCTTGATCGATACTGATAAGATCACCAATAATTTTGTATTTTAAAAAGAAGTTCATAACCTGTAGTTTTTACACACCTGAGGCTGAGATGTAGTGAGCAAAGATGGATGAATTAATATTCCATAGCTGTGACCTAACCAAATCTAACTGACATCTCTACTGTTAACACAAGAACAGTTCTGACTCTCGTTCATTTATTTTTCCAAGTAAAGTTAATCAAAAAACTTCAGAAACCTACTTTGGCTTTCTCAGAGTATAAAGCCTATCAATTGTTTTGCATAAGAATTAAAAAAAAAAATTATTATCATCACAGACTGATAATTTATTGGCTGCAATTTAGTTACCGGAATCATTTTCTAATAATGTCAATTTCCCATTATCGGCCCATAATTTATCTGCCCCGATAATTATCGTGCATCTCCAATATTTTTACATAGTTGTATTGCTACATTTACATAAGCACCTAAACAATTTTTCCACTACCGTCCACCTGCACTTTCGAACTAAAAGATTACTGAAGCTAATATGGTCATTATTCAAAAGTGGCTGTAATTGGCTTTCTGAAAGCTCGTACTAAAAAACCCATAAAAAAAAAACTTGGACATTAAATCAAGCATGGAAAGACCCATTTTCAGACACTTGCTGAGAGACAGGTATTTGGCCAGGGTCAGACAAAGACTATATCCCTAGAAACTATGTAAAAGGAATGCTGAATGATGCCCAAAACAACAGGCAACCATGAGAGAAAGGGGAAGGACATCCCCTAGCGCCCTTTGATAAATCTTAATGAAATTTTCAGGTATGACCTTCGATATGTCATTTAGTACTTGAAGGTTAAGTCGTCAATGTTTCAGCATCCACAGAATTCGAGGATTAGGCCATGGAACATTGCCATTGCCAGTGGCATGTTGTTGCTGGCCTCAAATTAAAGAAAGGTTCAGTCAGTAAAAACAAAAACATGGCCATGAGTCAATCATAAATATTACGTTACTGCACGCAAAGGTTCTTTCGTGATTACTGTCTTTTTTTATCAGAAAAAGCAGAACTATTTCTTTGGTTTTTATTAGTCATATCAGACACAGATGGAATACAACTTCTATTCTGCATAAAATAATATGATCTCATCACAGAGATAGAGCAGAAAACCAAGGGAATATCAAATCACTAAGCTAACTCATATTATTCATGTGATCTCACTGTAATTTTAACAATATAAACAAGTATTTATCGCTGATGACTAGATAAACTGTAATTCTGGAAAATCTGTCTGCAATCATTCTCACAAATACTTAATTATACAAGGTCATGAACAAAAGTACCTTGTGTCAATTTTCTTGTGACTACGCCACTCAAGATAATTGTGATTCCTCTGTTCACTTTGACAAAATTACACAAAACTGCACAGTCAAGAGTTTGGCTGGACCTCACTCTTTCTGCTTGCCTTACTGCCGCTGTCCAATACACACAAATATATTCTTTGAAAGACCGCAATCTTTTTCCTGTACCCGTTCCATCCTGATCTTACCTCAGACGTTACATAACTTCAGTAATAACGAGATTGTTTGTAAGCACCTGGGGAAGATCGTTTCAGCCGAATTGAACCCTCGGGCTGGCTAGTCTTTCCTTCTTACACGAAATACAAGTTTTACAACAACTTGGCACTTCTTCTATTAGTGAACTCTTACAATGTACTACACTGTGAATCAAAAGCAACAGTGCACAGGCTCATGGATCCCTACAGGACTGATATTTTTGTAGAATATGCTAAGCTATTATGTAGAAAGGATATGAGTGGCTCTATGGGTGCAATCATATACCTCAGTCTACATATTGCATTAGCTGAAATGTGCCTTTAAGATGCTGTGTTGCTTAGATACGAGAGAAACGCCATCAGACAGCTCATAACCTGACTTGAGTTCCATTTATTGTCTTCAGCATCTATTAATAAGATGACTTCCTCTGAATTCAAACGTGTGTCTATAAAACTATACACTACGGACAAAGTGATACAACATAATGAACTCAGTCCTGTCATAGGTTAGTGTAGTCTAAGTGTGAAGATGAGTTGTGATCATGTCAAAGTATTCATTACTTGACATGAAAAAACAAAACACTAAGAGAAATAAAGAAATAAACTATGTAACAGAGATATGTTTGTATCCCTTCATTCATATTGTGTTTAATGGGCTGTTTGTTTAGCATTACTTGCACAAATAATCTCACCTGCAAGAATGTGCAAGACAGGCAGGACATCTGTACTTGGCCTCTTCTGATCCACACACACCACAACTGCAGGACAGAAAACAAAAACAAAAGTTTTACAGGCCATCTAATGAAAAAAAAAAAAGTAACAAATTCACAGAAAAACTTAAAAATCCCGTCTCCCTGATATATAAGGTGATATAACCTAGAAACAAGAGCTAAAAAGGATGAGGAAAGATAGACAATGAGAGTTTATAAGGTATATCTTCTTCTTCATGTTAACTGCGTAGCTAACAGCTATTATTAACGCACAACAACACCAGCGTTAATATTTGCTTTGAGTAATAACTATCTTTATATCTGGTCTACAATAATGAACCCTGTGCTCGTGTAAGCAACCGTGAACCTGTTAGCTACGTTAGCTGAGGACTTCCCGTCTGTTAAAACACTTACTCCGAGAGAGAAATCTTCCTTTTGGTCCCCTTCAGCTCTTCTTCCGGACTGTTGTTTTCCACTTGGCTCTCCACAGTTGACATTGTGTCCGTTGTTGGTACAGTTAGAGAGCACATTACAGGAGCACAGCAGCCACACGTCGGACACAACCAAAACAAACCCTCTTCCGCCGGTGGCCACTTTCAGCCTCCAGCACGTGGAGATGAGTTCCGGTGGGAAACCTGCTCATTGGCGCCTCCCGGTGTTACAGGACCGGAACTACAAAGTCCTCCAGTGGTGTCTTAATGAGATACTACATCATAATATTCATACCGAACTGTCAAGAAGGCAGTCGACAAATAATGGTCTTTATCTCGTGTTGCTAGAGTAACGTGTTTTTACCGACTCGTAAGGAATTATTAAAATGTCATATTTTTTAAAGGGAGTTTGGTGCAGGGAGCTTTTAGTGGTACTCAAACTGATAGTGTATAATTATGTAACGTTTTATCACCACTACACAAACACGAGGTAACTGTTAAAGTATGATAAGGTTGTCTGACACTGACTGCTGTAGTTATTGGTTTGATAAATGGTTTGATGATGTGTGTATTGATTACTGACAAAAATATGCTAAAAAAAAGTAAACAGACCACAGAAAGTGCAGAGCGTCTCTGTGAATGTTCTTGTTGGACAGTAACTACAAACTCTCCTTATATGCCCAGCTGCAGATTGTTTTTAAGACCCTCATGCAGCTGTAAGTGTATGCAGTCATGATCTGCACCAGACTTGAGGTGTTTATTTGCAAGTCTGGTTCCTCACTATCTTATGCTTATGTAAAATGAGTTTATTGTGTTGGGGGTGGGTGGTGGGAGTCCTAGCAGATTGACATCCAGGGTGTGTGCATGGGGAGAGAGAGAGAGAGAGAGAGAGAGAGAGAGAGAGAGAGAGAGAGAGCATGTGCAAGGGCCATTTGATCAGCAGTTTCTAAAACTCTTGAGTTACTTGCTTCCACAATATAGTAGGCCTATCTGCAGTTTAAATAGGGAAATTGTGTTAGAGGGGTTAGCACAAGAGTAGCATCCAGCCATGTGTAAAATACTCACACTTCACATCATATGGTTGCCCTCACTATGTTGATTTTGCACTGTACCAAAGTAAGAGGCCATCTTTCCTGGATTTGGACAATGAGGCCTAAATATAGCCTAAATGTTCTTCTGGAATCTGGTCTTTAGTGTATATATGTAAGAAGCAGTTGGGGTTAAAGTCCTACTGTAGCTCTAGGGCACCTCACAGGTTTAAACCTGCTACAGTTAGACCACCATTAGTCTAAAATAGATTTGTCAGTATGACATAATTTATATGTATAACTATATATAGCTAATACTAACAATAGATAAACATGACCTATACAGTCCCTCCAGAAAAATTCAATGCATATCAGTCAAAGTCCGCATATTTATGCAGGGCCCGCATTTTTTCAAATAATCCCCGCATTTTTGTTGCAAAAAAGTCACATATATCTTAGCAGAAAGTTGATAAATGTTGCTTTTACTTCACACTAGAGCAGCCGTTTTTCCCCTGTTGCCATGGGAAGGTTATGAAACGTGAACGTCATCGAAAAGCTGCAAACCCCGCGATGAGGCCATGATGAAGCCCGCAAATCAGTTTCATTTGCCAACAAAAATAAGCGCAAAAGACCGCGCAAAGCTACAGAACTTGTTTGACTCATCAATGTTTTGTAAGTTTAAGCCATGTGTTTATTAAGGTCTGAAATAAAACAAGATGAGAACTTAAATATTCCCCGCACTTTCTGTGATGTAGGATGCTTGCTTATCATAGGAAGTAATAAGAAATGACTCTTTACATTAAGGTAGTAGCCTAGTGAGAACAGGGTGTTGGGGGAATCACTTTTTTTTCTCTTTTTCATCAAACCGCAGTTTTTGCAAGTTCCCGCAATTTTTGCAAGTTCCCGCAATTTCATCGCATAAAATTGCATAAATATCCCGCATATTCCATCGCATTTTTTAAGAAAACGTGTCGCATAATCAAGGATTTTTGCCCGCAACAATCACAAAAAGCTCCTTTTTTTTCTGGAAGGACTGCCTATAACTGGAAAGAGCCAGTAGTATACAAGTTTATGGATCTGTATCCAGAGTTGTATATCATATCATATAAAAATATTGTAATGTAATCTGTAATATTCTGCATACTGTATGTATCTTTGACAAATACAAACCTATCACCACCTTGGATAGCATATTTATAGCGTATTTTTGTGCATTTATTCCAGTATAATTCTATTGACATTCAAGAGTAATTTGATCCCCACATACAGTATGACGTCAACCATTTCAAAAAAGTACAGAACCATTTGTGGATAAAATGTTCCATTTATTTGTTTGTCAACTTATTTATTATTTACACATTTGCATCCAACCCTTTCCTCCGCAGACTTTATATAATTACATTTTGTTCAAGGTAATATAACTTAAGAATATGATGACTGTGTTTGCTGTGTATTCTGACTCTGGCCTTCTGTAGCTGCCAGTCCACCTAACCACCACTGAATGAACAGTATGATAAACATACAGTCACACAAACACACCTTTTAAACATAAATACTTCTTTAGACTGAGTTGTGGTTGACCAAATAGTTCTCTGAGAGTATAACTTACTGTGGTACAGTAATGTGAACAAAAAACCAAAAAGGATATAAATAAACATACAGTATGCTGTCAATATATACACAGGAAATGTAAAAACTCACTGATGACTCATTCTCTGTTGCAGCACCAATGATAGGTTTCCCCTGAAGAACCTACCACATTGAAGGAAAAGCTACAAAAATATGTAGTGTATCAAAAAAAATGGTTCATAAATTAGAAATGACCAAATCAACATAAGTACTTATACAACATAACAAATCTTGATGTAACCGGTACATACAACACAAAGGCAAAAAAAAAAAAAAAAAAAAAGGCTAACTTGACATTAGCAACTATTCTAGAAAGCAAATGAGCAGTTAGAGGTAGAGCACCATCCGTCAAGATGTACAGGTCCGACTGGGCAGGACCGAAGACAAAAATATCATGAAAACAATGTAAAATATAGCCTTTGATCAGAAAATGAAATATTTAAAGCAGTCACACATTATCCACATGCTATTGCACTCATAAAAAACCTTTAGTTAGACAGTGCTCCTATGTAGAGACCTGGCTCCTTCGGGTAAGGCCTCGGCTTAGGATGGTCTGGGTGTGTTTGGGAGTGAGGGGTCAGAGGGAGCTGGGATTTTGGGGGTTTGGATAGGCTGCTGCTTTTAGTGAGGCCCTACCCTGTGATCAGGGAGTAATATATGTCCATGTACAGCCAACCTAAGCACCGTTTGACTAACAATTATTGACAAAACACACTTTACACAATTATCGATAAATATTGGTATACATTGTTCTCCTTTGGCTTTCTTGGACTGGATGTTCCACAGAGATTGAGATCTTCCATGTAGATCTGCCTTCGACTGGACTTTGGGCATTTGCTGCTCTGACAGGTCCTATTAATGGTCTCCAAGGGACACAACAAACTCTGAAGGATACTCACTCTTTGGTAGGCAGCCATTTTTTGAAACAACTTTGAATTTTAGTAGTTCATGAAAATAGGTCACATAACGGTGATGTTGGTGTCAGAGGAAGCAGACTGGACCGACTTCTATATGCTGCTGACTATTGGGCGGTGCTGTGGGAAATTCCTGTATGTCTACAATAGGTAGCTGACGACTGTCCTGAGTATGGAAGAAGAAATGTGATTGGTGCCAGCTGCCATCTTGGATCTGAAAGAAAAAAGAAAAGAAAGAAACATAATTTAGGTGATTCATATTAAAATACATATGATAGAATATGCTTGTAAACGTATTTCAGATCCAAGCCTAATATATAAACTATCTTTTCAAATATAAAAATAATGTTTGCATGAGTTTCTTTAGCATGAAAAGAGCTGTATGGTGGAGCTTTCTGCAATTCAGCTCTATCAAAGTGTTTTCATTCTATGATATATCTGTAATTTCCAGGTAGAAAATAAACCAAATATCCTTCACTTATGTTTTATACATTTATAGGCATGACTGCATCAAATAGTTATCAAGACAAGTAAAAATCTCCAAAGGTAAAAGACTAATGTCAAGTCTGTTGAGTCCTGTTTCATGTAGACCGGAAGGGAAAGGATTTTGCTGAATCAGTTATCTGTCCATCACCTTGCACTCGTCTTGTAGCACATGTGGTTCAAGTAGTGTGTCTTTCTCAAACATCTGTTTGTTCCAGCCACGAAACCGAAGTGTGGTGTTCTCTAGCGGTATGGATCCAGTGGAGCTGAAGCTGTCTGTGGTGCCGTAGGGAGGATCATTTAGGCAGTGGAGTGTGATGCTGTGGCTGGCCTCAGTACTCAGTAAATGGAGAAACTTCATTTGGACTTTCCCAACACCAAACACCATCTGTGATGGAGAGCCAACATAACCAAAGTAGGATAAATACTTTCATTTCAAACATTTGAAAAACTGTGATACAACCTCCTACAATGTCTCCTGCCATTTAAAGGATTATTGCAGTTATTAGTTATCTAATTAAAAAAAAATTGGGGTGCAGTTAAAGTTCTGTGTTAGTGCTTTATTGCTGTACAATCTATGTTAGACAATATAGAAAGGTTCAAAAAATCAACAGACATGGAGAGGGAAGTGATGCACATACTGTTCCCAGCATTTAAAAATGGCACAATAGCCGCTATTTATCTTCATTTAGGCTTCAGTAAAGTTCAAAAGGGTTCAAACAGCCCTTTATTTTAACAGGGTTTCTGCAGGTTTCAACAGGTTAAATTTAAGACTTTTTAAGACCATTATGAATGCAATTTAAGACATATTTCAAATCAAGAAACATGGAGGAAAATTGGTATTGGTTCTGTTAAGTTTTGTATTTGCTTTGTAGCACGATCAATACAAATGTTTTCAAAAACATCTTTAAAAGTGAGACTGAAAAAAATGTCATAACATAAAACCAATTTAAGGCATAAAATGCAGCCTATTGGATATCAGACTTTTTTCAGACCCTGTGGAAACCCTGTTTATCCAGCACCTTGATATGTTGATACGTTCACCACTTCAGTGTTACCTTATTAGAGGCCACTGGATGTAAACAGGTCTGCCCTCCTGCAGTAAAGTTGCAGAAGACC